AGCCCCTGTGTAACACAGGCACCTCTTGCAGCATTCCACTGGCACCAGAACCGGGCACTGCAGTTTGTATGTGTCACAGGAGCACCAAAAGGGACAGAAAAGGGTGCCTCAAAGCAGCCTCGCTGTCAAGGTCGTGGTGCGAGTGGGGGCTGCTGGTGCTGGTCTGCCTGGAACGCTCGCCCCTTCACACCGGGCGTTGCGCCTGCTGCTGCTGGTGCTGCTGCCGCCGCCGCCGCCGCCGCCCTGCCTTCCAAAGCTGCTGCAGCCACCGCCCTGCCCTTCACACCCAGCGGCCAGCCTCACAGCGCCTCCAGCAGCGCGTCCTGGTAGGCGGTGAGGAACTGCGACACGACGCGGCGGTCGGGTACGGCGGCCGCCATGCCGTACAGCGGCGCCATGCCGTCGCCCCCAGCCTTGGGGTCCTGCAGGCCGCAGCCAGCGGGTGGGGGGCGGGGGCAGGTGAGAGGGGGTGCGGTGCCAGCAAGCAGGGGACGGGCGGGCTGCTGGGGCCGGCAGCGGAGAAAGCAGCGGCAACCAAGCCCAAGGGTCCGCTGCCTACCTCAGCGGCCCCTCACACCGCACCAGCCACACCCGCCCCTCCACCCCTCCCCACCCCCACCTGCAGCGCCGCCTGCACCGCCTCCCGCAGGTCCCGCAGCAGCAGGTCCACGATGGCGGGGGAGTGCGCCGCGGTCAGGCAGATGTGCAGCGCGGCGGGGCGCTGCAGCGCGTTGAGGTGCCACCCGCGCTGGCTCAGCAGGTCGTTCACTTTGTAGATGTCGAGCGCCCTGCAGCAAGGCACGGCAGGCGCTTGTGCTGTGAGTGTGCTGTGAGTGTGTTGTGTGTGTATGGGGTGGAGAGGTCGAAGCGGCAGCGGGCAAGGGAGGAGCGTGCTGAGAGGCGAGCGCAGGCGGGCAGGTGGGACCCCAAGGGGCAGAGCTGCGGCCAGGGGCGCTGGCTGGCGACGCGCGCTTGCCTGCGGCTGGCCCGGAACGCCACCACCGTCATCTCCGGCTCCCCCACCACCTCAATCCCCTCAATCGCCTGCACCCCCGCCACAAACCGCTGCGCCGCACGCATCATGGCGTCTGCATTGCCAGGCAGGCGGGGCAGGCGGGCAGGACGGGGGAAGGAGTCGGGCGGGCAGCCGCACACGTGGACGGCGTTCGCGGCCTGACGGCCTGGCCGGCGGCGGCGCCGTTCGCCAGAATCGCCAGCTCCGCCCCGCCGGCCACCGCCTCTCTGTGCCAGGAGCGGCTGGCGTGGCGCGGGCGCCCACCTGTGGCAGCCAGGTATCCCTCCTCCCCCAGGTGCACCAGGGCGGCCCAGGCGGTGGCGATGAGCGCCCCCGAGCGGCTGCCGGCAAAGCCGGGGCTGATGTACAGGCCGCCGGTCCAGTCGGTGATGGAGGTGTACTGGTGACGCCTGCGGTACAGAGCGGTACAGCAACGGGTGGGCAGGCCGGCCCGGGTCGGCAGTGGAAGGTGTGGAGGCGGGGCGCCTGTGACTGGCAGGAGAGGGGGAAGCAGCCGGCAGGGCAGGACTGCGGGGGCAGCTGCCACACCCAGTTGCCACACCCAGGCGCACCTGATGTCTTTGCTGCGGTACAGCACTACACTGGTGCCCTTGTGCGCCATGCCAAACTGCAGACTCAGAGGGGTGGGCAGGCGGGGTCGAGGGCAGCTGGCACACACCCCGCCACCGCCACATCAAACACACACTGCCTGCCCCATCAAACACACATGCACCGCACACCACCACCACCCCAACCCCACACCTTGTGCGTGTCCACGCTCATGCTTGTCACCCCCTGCACCGAGAAGTCAAAGGGCGGCACGCGGTGGCCCAGCTTGCGCGCAAAGGGCAGCACAAAGCCGCCCAGGCAGCAATCGACGTGCAGCGGGATGCCGCGCCGCCGCGTGACCTGCGGGCGGCAGGCAGAGAGGGAAGGGGGCAGGGGGGGGGGTGGGGGCGTCAGCCAAACACGCCGAAGCAACGAGCAACCTAAACAGCAGGCAGGACAGCGGTGACACCTGAGCAGCAGCGAGGCACTCACACGCTGGGAGGCACGGCGCCTGCCATCCCCTC